GTGCCTCAAAGCCATAAGCGGCTAACGTCATTCAGAGAAATCCTGCTGATACTGTCAAAGGCCTTACTGAACGTCGGAAGTCATGATGGCATGCGGTAACCACTTTTCCTTACCATACTCGGTCAGCAGCTTCAGTCTCAGCTGGGTGTCGGCCATAGACTTTTTCAGCATTCCACAAGGCTGACACTGTCTCAGTCTGTTTGCCAATACTTTGCTTATCAACCTGTAGTCAGTATTTAACAAGTTCTGCAACAGTTCTGAATCTCTATTTTCATATAGCAGAGTTATGATCGAAGATCTCACGCTTGGGGGGGGGAGATGTCCTTTTGCCCAGCTGTGATTGAGCACTTTCAGAAGGTCTCTATTTACTACCGACGAGTACTTCTCTTCAATTATTCCTGCTATTTGGACCTTACAAAATCTTCTCTCGTCCTGGCCTGTTATCAGAAGCCTTTCATTTAATGTGCATTTTTTGTCCTGGTCAAACGTGTCTAGTGCCAATACAGCTGCCAGGCGGGTCGTTAGCTGTAGCTCTTCGCGTCTAATATCTAATGATTTTGAATCTGTGTCTTTTCCATATCATCTGCCCGAATTTTGGCATCTCAAAGGCATTGCTCTCCAAGATCTCCGTATGTCAGAGATAGATTGCATCTGACTTCTGTAGTTTAACTGAATTTTATTACATTTCCATTCGCCGGATCCCTAATTCAGACCGGAAAAGCCTTCCGTAGTGAGGCGAATTGCACAGGGGCCACTAACTGGAGTTGCAAGGTGCTCCATAGCTTTCAAATTGATTTCAGTCTGTCTAGAAACCTATATCCTGTATAGTCTTCTTGAATTTCCATTTGTGTAATAGCCAGACTGCGAGGTAGGGTAGTTTCAAGCTACTTCGTCCAGATGTGAGCTAATTTGAATTGGTGCAGCCTGGCATGCACAGTGAACAAGCAACCGTGTTCTGGATTCAGGTTCCGGCATGTCTTATCTCCCTGGCGGAAGCATTATTTTCTCTAAGCAGGATGCGGG